CTGTTGAATCTCAATGACTCACTCATTAACAGTCACTTGCTGCCACCTACTGGCGGTTTTAATCACATTTCGACTATTTTTTTTTCATGTTTTAAATCTTTGTCCTGTGATGTGACAGATAGTGTAATACCTGTAATGTCACACCAAAGGATGTTTCAGCCTGTTGTGTCAGTTAATATCATTAGCAGTTAGCAATACACATATGCATACATTTCCATGATCATGTAGTTTAACATACAGTTTTTAAATAAAAAAAATATACTGTACATAATTTAAACTTATAGATCCAAATAACCCCATGTGGGGGCAAAGGAAAATTATCCTGAATTTATTGAAATCCTTTTCTCTTTCCTCAGCCCAGTTTTCCCTTCTTTCCAAAGGCCTTCATTGTATTCCTTCCATAGGGTTGACCAGATTTATAAAAAATAAAATAAAAAAAAATAAAAAAAAGCATTGATTATGGATCTCCAAAAGTATCACCCTAGAATCAAACTTGAAACCATTTTTAAGGAAAAAACTCAAAAAGAAGAAGACTACATTTACTCACGGCTCTACTTCGTCCCCTGCCTTAAACAGGCTTCCAAAACAAGCTCAACAAACCAGTGTGGCCGATCAGTATGCCCTCAAACTTTTGAATTTAATGGACAGAGGGCAGTATGTTTGGGAGGGTGAAATGTTCTCTGTGCTCTCAATGTCAAATGCTTGCTTAGTTGGGGACACTTAATATCCAGCGATATCGTCGACTTGATTGCACAGATACTATTTAAACTGAACTGAGCTGGATGATGACATCACTGAATTCAATGATGAACTGCCTTTAACTGAAAATTGAGTGTTCACTATTGTCATTTTGCATTATTGACACAATGTTTTCCTATTTAATACAGTAAAGTTGCTTTGACACAATCTGTATTGTTAAAAGCGTTATATAAATAAAGGTGACAAACTCATATATCTAGAAACGATGATTGAAGTTGAGCAAACGCTAGATAAAATGACGTCTCTAGGAATCATTAATAGTGAACAAAAGGAATACTCCCCCAGGCCCCGTCATTTCTATTTACTCCCTAAAATACACAAGAACCCTGAGACCCGGGGCCCGTTCTTCATTCGTCGCTAACTCAGTTAGCTGGATTTGATTGTTGATGATTTGGCGTGATCTTGGATTATTTGGTTCTTTAAAGCTCATCCCGGACTTGCTGTCATAGCAACAGGTCCGTAAACTTAAACCTGCTCGGGAGCAGTTTATTTCATGTAAACAGGACTAGATTGCATCTTTTTAAGTGGAACTGATACTTAAAATCTCTCGCAGCCACTGTTACTCTAATACAAGAGTGTACCCTACTAATCCGGGGACAATCATTTAAAATAATAATAATTTTAAAATTAATTTGAAAATAATATTATAATGTTGTGTAATCTATAATACTATAGACACAGCCAGTATTACTCATTGAAAGATGTATTCATGATATAATAATTGATAAAAGTAAATGTCTCCTACACAACAGATGGAGAAAACATTAAAATCAGAACCATCCTCCTGATGTTCTATTGTCAAAAACAACTTGCATCCTTACTGAAGACATTGACTGCATTTATATTGTGTTAAGCACAAAACCACATCTTCCAGATTACAATGTCTGGTAGAATATCACTAGTGCCTCACAGAAATGTATGACTGTACAGTATGTGTCAGATATAAAATAAGTTTATTGTAAATTACTTGTGAAATCCATGTTAACCCCTCACTAATTACAATGTTGTGTTCAGGCATGTAGTTATACAGGTTATCTTTGAATTTCTGTATGTTATGTTTTACTAGAGGACCATGAGGACCATAACAAGTAAATATAATGTTTTTTTTTTGCCAAATATGTAGCAAATTTAATACAGTAGTATTAATGTTGAACCATAACAACAGAATCACTCATGAAACAGAAAAACTCATGGGCTGCATCCGAAAACTGAGATTTTTAACGGTCTGTTCAATTAAAGTGCTTTGTCATGTTGGTGGGGACATCTCTCTTGCAACATACTATCTTATCACAAATATTACACTAAGCTTTTTCAGCTTCTGATTTCTGTAGCCAAACCTTGGAGCGCTTAGATTAGTGAGGAAAGACCTGTTATTAATTTATAAACGCTGTTAATTTTACAGCGTGTATCCGATTCCAGAATTGGAATTGCTTTTTGATTCCCAACCCTGGTTACTTTTCTTCTTCCGGAATATGAGTCCCCGAAAGAAGACGAGAGACTGTAATGGCCGCACATTCCATTCTCTCGCAGGCCTCTATACACACATGCATATACTTGATTTTAATAGTAGAATGACTTGGTACATAAATGGTTATATTCGCATTGATTCTGCTTGATTAATTCATATTTTGATTAATAAAAATCTTCCACACCTCCTTCAGATTTTGTCAAATCCTTACCAAAGTTGGATCAGATGATCACTGGACCTACCCACACAGAAATGAAAACAGAATTTTGATTTTTTTATCTTTGTTATGATGATGCAAATTTAACAATCTCCACCAAAATTGGGATCAGAGGCTGTATCTCGGCAATGCTATGATCTATTGAAACTTGGTACGCTTCATATGCACCATGATTTGAAGGCAGCGCCATCTGCAGGTCATGAGAAAAATTACTATTTTTGCTTATAACTTTGACCAGTTTGTCAGAACATGTCAAATCCATGGATACAGATCAGATGAACCTCCTGTCCGCCATATTGAAATTTGCATAGATTGCAATATCTTTTTAATGTTCTGACATTTAAACACATAATTTGGTGGGGATCATCGACATCATGTCCCAAAGACACCTGAGAAGTTTTAACAGAGTGCAACCTAATGTTCCAGAGATATGTTTTTTTATTCCAAAAATGCTTATAACTTTTCAAAATGTGGTCTGAAATGTATTTATTGTCATTCAAATCCTTGGTTTACGCCAATTCCAACTATATCTCACGTTTCATTTTCCATCATTTTGTTCGTCCGCCATTACGAAGGAAATAAAACACTTTTTTCATTAATCTTGTACAATTTTGTCCAAAATAGGCTCAGACCATGTTTGGTCTGATCGGCACAGAAATGAACAATCAGATTTTTGATATTCGCTACAGTTTACGATAGATGCTTTTATGAAGACGACAGCACCCTTGTTTGTTGTCCTATGCTACAGTATGTTAGCTTAGCATGTTATTCTGTTAGCATGCTAATCGGAGACCATTATTTTTAATGTGGCCCTTTTGGTTACCAGGGTTGTAATCAAAGGGTTGTCAGGGGATCACAAACCAATGGATGGTGCGACTGAACAAGAAGAATCAAGTATTCCAGAGAGCTGTTTAACGCATGAAGAATTTATTTTATAATCAATTAGCAATACTCAAATAAACATGCAATAATGATGGATCAGAGCCATAGGCCAGACTAGACAAGCTTTTGAAGTGAAATGGTAATTTCCTGTTCAATGAGGATCACTGAGTCGAGGCATTTCACATGATGCTACAGCCGCCTGAGTAGTCTGCATTCGTCTTCTGCATTGCCATCATGTGTTCTCTGTGCTGCTGCTGCATCATAGCCATAAACTCCTCATGTTTCCTGCTGGAGTTTTCTAAAATTGCTGCAAACTCTCTAGCTCTGTTACTTTCGGCTTCAGTGCTCCTTCTCTTGAACTCTTCAATCTCTTGGCTCATCCTGTCTGCCTTCTCCTTAAAGCCCTTCTCCTGCAGATCAGCCTGCTCCCTCAGTTTACTGTCCATGGCACGCTCAGCCTCCTCTCTCTGAAGCTTCATCTCCTCATCCATCTTCTCCTTCATCTGTCTCATCCTCTCTTCATTACTCTGTCTCTCTGCTTCCATCTTCTCTTCTAGTTGTCGCTGCTTCTCATCTCTAGCTTTAATTTCCTGCTCCAGGAGGGCTGCTTTCTCTTTTTCCTCTGAAATAAAACAGATGCTTCAGAGACAGAGAAGAGACTCAAACCATGATATATTTAAGGGCTCTATTTCACTGTAAAACTGGTCACACACTGGACAAGAAGCTCCATGTAGAGTTTCAGAGAATCTCCGAAATAAAATCAAAATGGGAAAATGACATTGTGACATTCAAACATTATTTTCCATTTACTGTTTGGTAATTGTTTGTTTTTAGTTTAGTTTGCTGTTCATAATCTGTTACTGTTCTCAGAATTCTGTAAAAGAACTAAAAAACTGCCTTCCATTGAAAAAATGATTATGTAAAAAAATTAAGTTAAATTGATCACTATCCATTCTTGTTTTTATTTTGCTTTTAATACATTTTGAATCAAATTATGGCTAACAAAATATTTGCTGTGCATTCTCATTCTAACACAATGCTCAGGTTTTACTGTAATCACAATGCAAAACTAGCACTTTTAAATTTTTTCAAATAAATATTTAAAACAAGAACTTCAAATTTTAACAAAGTAATATTTGATTATGGCTAAATATATATTCAGATCCAAAACTTAAGCAATTATCCCTGAAAACACTGCTCAGTAACTAAGGAATGCACAGCACTGAATCTGTATGGCTATAAAGGCATATGTATTACACCATGGTATTACAGATTAATTTCTTTACTTTTTTTCCCCACAAGGTGGAACAAATCTGCCTCAGAGCAAAAGTATTTAAAATCCATTTAATTATTTGTAACTTAAATACTGCATTAATTGAAAAATTATATACAATATTAGTTTTTTTACATTTTATACAGAAAATACTCCATAATTTAGATATGAACATTACTTTATAACATTGAATTGAAATATACTACATTCATTTCACACAAATAAAATAATTACACGATTATGGCCTCTGGTCAGTTTAGGCCGCAAACAACACAAGTGTTGACTCCCAAATGAACAATACCAGAGGGTTAACTGGGATATTTTACTAGAAGCATTTATTTTCATCTAAAATGCACTCTTTCAATAACATTAAAAACATATTTAATGCAACATCTGATAATGTATTTCTGGCCTTATAAGTTAGAACTGATTTAAAACCAATAAAACAGAGACTGAAGAGTTCCTAGTATTGGTCTTGATCTCACTGATCTGTATTTCCAATGATAATGGTATAGGTAGCCCCTCTGGAACCTAAACCCTGGACTGCAGATGCTATCTGAATAAGATTATCTGTAGCTGTGTTTTAAACTTCTTTAAACTTCTCTGAGTCCTTCATTGTGCAGAAACACTCTCACAAGTACCTAAACCCTTGAGCACCATTTTTCACAAGGAACCTAGGAAGAATTTACAAACAGGGAAATTGGGATTTTATGACTTAAAATTCTCACTCTTAATCTTTTTCTCCTTCTCAGTCGGTTTCTTGTCAGCCTGCAGAATGGCGTTAGAATCCACAGACTTCTGCTTCAGGAACTCCTCTAGGACCTCTTCAGCCTATTGACAAACGCACGTACAGAAAAAATGGATAATTATGGCAAAGACGAGGATGATGAAAGTGGTCATGTCGTGTGATGTTGTCTAATATGGGCATAACCTTGACTTCTTTATTGGCCTGGCTGTTATATTTCTTCCCAATGTCCTCCAGATCTTTGCAGAAGAGATCATAGCCACCAGGTTTGGTATAGAAGCCCTGCTTGAGTTTTTCCATCATTGGTGCAGAGAGGGATGACAGGATTTCCTCACATCGTTTCTTTGAAGCTTGTTCGTTTTGGCTCAGGTATCCATCAAAGAGTTTAATAATCTTTTCCTAAAAACAGAACATGTAGCATGTCAGTGGTAGAGAGGTATACAAGCTGCTGAATACTGATGATGTGTTATCTCTCACTTCATCCGATCCGACAACGAGTGTGCTCTTAGCTTTGAGTCAAGATGAGCAGGATGAGACTGTGCACCATGCTTTAGAGACTACTAATTTGAGAAGATCTGACAGACAGATTGTTGTACATAAACAAAAACAAAATTGCATAAATCCAGCGATCAAGAAATTCCAAAGAATGAACTTCTTTCAAACTCTTAATCATGCAAAAATGATATGGGATTCATGCTACAAACCAAAGGGAATATTAGGCATTTAAATATCTGCAGTGTTGTTTCAAAAAGTAACCAATTGGAAAATGTATTGACTGGTTCAAACTTGGGCTTTCTTGGTATTTCGGAAACATGGTTAACAAAATCTTCCCCAAACGGCTGCATTAAATATTTCTGGATATAATGTGTTTAGGAGGGATAGAAATAAAGGTAAAGGGGGCAGTCTGTTGGTCTATATTAAAGAGTCAATCAAATGCCTTATTGAATGGTCGCATCAAACAGAACTGGAATGCATTGGTTTGAGAACATCACTGTCATCAGAAATGTCATTTAATATAATTTGTCTATACAGACCACCATCAACTGATAATAGTTTTATGAACATCTACATAAAATCCTTAAGGTATGTGACCAGAAAAAAAAGAACTAATAGTTATGGGTGATTTTAATATAAACTGGGATAATAAATCAGATAGGAAAAAACTTAAAGAAATTGTAGATAAATTAAATCTTACCAAACTAGTGAAAGGGCCAACAAGAGTGACCAGTTCCTCTCAGACACAAATAGAATTGATGTTTACAAATAGGCCAGAGAGAATAATAAAAACATATAATCATGGGAATATCTGATCATATCACATTATTGCCACGGAAACTTACTAGAAAACGTTTTGGTAGTACAGTTAAAACAAAATATAATCATCTGAGAATTGCAAAACATTTTATTAATAACTTTGAAAATGCCCTTCAGCAGATTGATTGGTTAAATCTTCTGCATAATGAAGACATTAGGAATACTAGTAATATGTTTTTTTTTCACAACTATTAATAAAATAATATCTTCTTTTACTTTAAATTTTAGTTTTTCACTAACCATGTGTAACGGAGGCCAGCGAGTAGCTGCTGTGCAGGTAAAACCCCACTCCCCTGATCTCAAGAGATGCACTAGTGACTAACGCTAGTGGCTGCAGTCTTTAGCCTCCTTGTTAGTGCGTCCGCCTCCCATGCCGGAGACCCACTTGGAACAAGAACGAGGAGTGACGGTGAGGACCCGGGAGAGAGGGGTTACATTGGTGCCGTGACCCGGATGGGAGTGA